TTTTCCAAATATATACTTAGTATAGACATTGAACATTGCGTGGTAGGTTTAGCCCCCCCCCCCCCACTTTCCACTCACACGTCGCAGTATAGGTTAAAAATAGGGAAAGTGATGGTGTTTAGAAAAACATTTGGTACTGAAGTTCGAACCTACCCCCCCCCCCCCCTCCCCCCCCCCCCCCCCCCCCCCCACCAAAATCGGTTTTCGAGTTTGGGCAATTGCGAAAATCTTTTTTTTTTTTTTTTTTTTTTGCTTGTCACTGTTTTTTGTGAAGGTATAATAAATTTTTCTTTACACTCAGCACCCCCACTTTCAATTTGCTTCCGACGCCAATGATCATCATTTTGAAAGTTCTATGAATGATACAATGACCTTGTCATAAAGTCGAACGGCTGTTTGCTGACACGTTTTTATACCGATTGTTAGGCCATTATTTACACAATGTATATTGTCTACAGGGTTTTCTGTTTGCCCTTTCATGACAAGGAGAACACGGGGGATGTGTCGGGACGGCGGAGGTTATTCTTCTTCCATGGTACCTGATCCCATTTTTTTTAGAGCTTCGTACATGTATTTGCTTTGCTCATGATTTGTATCGTTGGAATGAAGCAGTGAGTTGGAATACTGTTCGTTATCTCCATGTTTCATGAAAGTACCGTGCATTCAGTCACTATAATTTGTAAATGGGAAACGCTGAAGTATTTATGTGGCCATGTGTATCAGTTTATGAAAAAAAAAGCAACAATTTGAAGAAAAAACAGCAATTTCAATGTTTGGAATTTTGTTGTAGAAATAAAACCATAGCCTTCAAGATTAACACTCATAACTAATTTTAGTGTTGAGCATAGAAAAAAAAAAAACAAATAGATTCATCGATCCATCGGCATTTTCCAAAGGATGACTACTTTTAAAACATTTACGATACCTAAAAAAGAGGAAAATTTGAATTTGCCAGTGAAATGATAGATCAAAGAGATTCTTGGCAGACAAGAAGACCTATTTTTTAATTTTGTCATCAATCCTTAATATATATGTGATAAAACTGACACCAATCTCTTAACGTTTTGATGTACACTCTTACGCCTTTGACTTCTAGACTAATACACACAGAATGTTTAAACAGATAATTAGTTTCGCGGTACTTCTTAAGTAATTCATTAAATCTTAGTGTTGGAGCAAATATTAAAAGGGATAAATCATGGGAATATTACTCTTCATATAAACATTACATTTTTCTTCGCCGTTATAAATAATTATTTTGCAAGTTCATCAATATGTCGTCTGCATATCTCCCGCGAATATCATCTGAAATATTCATGTAATCTCTTTCAGAAGGAATTGTTGTGCGTCATCTGACTTATTAAAGCTATGGTGTAAATATATTTTGATTTGAAGTCAATTTTTGAGGTTGAAGAGTTCACAGACATAAGAGTCATCTAATTTATAAATTCTATTGTCATTCCTGATCGTCACCACCTCAGTGGTGCCATCTACAATAACACGTGTATCATGGACCTTCATGGCAAATCCTTATAACAGCAGAAATCTCTCTCTCTTTTTTTTGAATACGCACATATTTTTATGTGCGAAGATCTTTAATCACGGTAACATATATCTATGCGGATATCTTATATATTTTAAAGAATTCTTCCATATAGCAAACAAAAAAAGGTAAAGTGGGCCCCAAACTTTCGTGACCAGCCGGGGATCATATAAAATATACCAATTGATTTGTGAAGTATCATCTTCAGAGGTTTAATTTATAAGTCTGTGTTTGACGTCCCCCTGTTCTTCAAGTGTTTGGTCATGTAACACCCCCTTCGATTTATTACCACTTACAAGTACCGGGGTATCGGATAACTGGTATCGTTTACCAGGATATGAACCCACTGTGCAGAAATATCCGCCGATGAATCATGCATTATTCAGCAATCGACTTAAAATAATTTTACATCAGTAAAATTAATTGATTTAAGTGTCTACTGAATTTCGCAATTAAAAGTAGAGGAGAAAGTGACGATCTTTATAGAATCTTTCTGTAACAATTCATTTTTGCGTTCTGGGTTGAATTTCCACACAAATCCATCTCTAGATACTTTAAGGTAGTGTGGACTTTCTAAATCCTTAAGGTACTCCTGCCGTCGTACAGAGAGCCGTGGAGACCAGTCCTTGTCTGATAAATCAAACCTTCCTTATCTCATATATATTTTTTTAATTTTCCAAAAATGATTTAAATTTTGTTAAATTTATTAATTTTTAATAAAATTATTAATTTAAATCCAGTTAAAATAATTAATATAATCTACGCTTCAAAACCTGGAAATGGCTGGAATAACTCACAGGGGGCCTTTGACATACCCTGGTACTATGTTTGATTTTACGTTCTGTAAATATTCACGTTATCATACAAAAAGGATTTATTTTCTGCATACATGGTCATCACGTAAAATCAAGCAAAGTTACTGGCCCCTTTGGAATAACCAATCATTTTTTAAGTGCCGAATAAAACAGCATCAGTATACAGCAAAGTGGCTATTTTTTACTTTATTTTTAAACCATTCATTACAAATTGAAACTACAGTGCTGTAAAATTGGTGATGATCAGGACCTCGAAGACATTTGTATAACAATTACTTATAATATAGGTACATGTCGCAAGTTGCAGCAAAAAAAAAACAAAAAAAAAACCAATATGTGTTTGTGAAACACTGATGCCCCCTATGGAAACATAACGAAGATTAAACTTTTCTTAAATGCAAATTTAATAAATTATATTGGTACCCAAAGTAGGGTATTCTAACTGGAAATACGATTGTGAAATATGAAAGAAGATCAAGGTTAAAGATTTTTTTATAAGTACGGAAATCTCCCAGGTCAAGGTCAAATGCCAAGGTGATTGGTATCCAATGAAAGGTCTTGCCACAAAGAATACATGTTTGAAGTATGGAAGCCCTAGTCCTAACCCTTCAAACGTTATGGCCAAGGTTAACAATTTTAAAAAGTAGGTCAAACTCCAAGGTCAAGGTCAAAGTTCTTGATATTGAATGAAAGGTCTTGTCACAAGGATTAAATATGTAAAGTATGAAAGCACTAGCCCTAACACTTTCATACTTTACATATTAAATCCTTGCAACAAGACCTTGCATTTGATAGCAAGATCTTTGACCTTGGAGTTTGACCTACTTTTTAAAATTTTCAACCTTGGCCATAAATTTAAGGGATAGGGCTTCCATACTTCACATATGTAGTTTTGTGGCAAAACCTTTCATTGGATACCAATCACCTTGATCTTTTGATCTTGACCTTGGAGATTTCCATACTTATGAGAAAACTTTAACCTTGGCCTACTTTCATATTTCACAATTGTATTTCCAGTGAGAATACCCTACTTTTGGTACCAATATACTATATAGTATTAAATTCGCTATGTTCATAATGTTGCCATACGGGGACATCAGTGTTTCACAAACATATCTTGTTTCTCTCTAAAATAATGAGCATTTCATAAAATAAAGTAGATCATGGATGTATGGATCAATAAATAACTAAGATTTTTCCCCCACTTTCTTTTTTGTTAATTATTTATTTATTTATTTATTCCTTTATTTATTTTCATTAAAATTCTGATTATTACCATTTTTTAAAAATAAAATAACCAAGTAGGTAGTAGTTGATGAAACAATGACACCCACGATTTTAACATGTTTATGATATCCTAGTAACCAAAAACCAGAAATACCAAGAAATGTCGACCTCTTTTCTTTGAAGTTTTCTTCAGTGTCATTTAACTGGCGTCTCGACAAGAACTCCGAGGAAGCAATATCCCCCAGAATCAACGGGATAGGGAGGTAGGAGAAATATGTCGAGTGATTATCGAATCCCAGACCGAGAAAAAAACAATTATTTCAGTCATTTCTCAAATAGATAACTTACAAAATTTACTGTATTGCGGATTTTTTTTTCTAAATTGATTTCACGCGTTGTCAAAATAAATCACTGAGAGAACTGAAATTTTGTGTTTAATTAGTATCAAACATCTGTTAACTTCTTGGATTTTTCTTACTCCTTTTTATGTAATATCATATAAAACGAAGAGAAAATAGTCAACAAAGTTAGGAATTTTATATATTTTTCGTATTCCGTATATAAGTTCAATTAAAACTGGATTAATGTGTACATAGGATGGTAAATTCGGGTTTGGTTCAAGTCGCAGGCAGCAAATCAATGATGATATGATAGTATCTCAAGCCCTAGTCGCATAAATCTATCACTGCCTGCACAAACTCTGATGTGTGCGTAATAAATTTGCTAAACGAAAAAAGCAAGCATTAAATATATACCGATCTGATAACGATAATATTTTGAAATATGTTGTTGTCTGTATATTGTATATGATGGAGAAAGTCTCTGATTTATTTTATCCCATGATTTCATTATAAGCATATAAATTTTCCTACAGATATTAAGCTCACTATCTAGATAAATAGCCATTGATATCTGTTTTTCGGAAATTCTGACAGACAAAAGAGATATTTATGTATAGTGTTTCAATATTCCCCCTGTATAAAATCTTTAGAGTATATACAAGAAACCACTGCATCATTCATAAATGCAGAATTACAAACATATATAGACAAGTATATCAGAACTGGACGTGAAAAAATGACGTCTTTATACTGTGACAAATTATGGAAAAAGAATATTATTTCAAAGAGCATAAACTGTTACGATATTTCAATTTCGTAGACAAGATCAATAGTATTGTTATGATGTTTGGTGAGTATCTAGTGGTAAACATGGATGAAACGAATCAAGCTGACATACGATATACCCCCAACCAAACCAACTGATTTTGTCAGATTCTAACACAAGAAATTATTGGAGGATACTATGGCCTCAATATTACTATAGAAAACATCTTGGGTAACTTCTGTATATCAAGCATGTTCCATTGAAGAAGATGATTATTTTGTGTAATAAAACTACCACAAAAAATGATGGAATATGCATGTTCTAGTTTATTTAAGCAAGTTTCTCTCAAAAGTTCCTTTGTTTTTACGTAGCCTCTCCAAATCTTCAGTGGGAACTTCGCTTAAAGCCGATCGGTTCAAGTTTATGAAAGGCTCTAGCTTTCCAGCTTTGAACTGAAAGACACAATGCATACGTTGTCATTTCGTTAGTAACCATACTAGTAAGAGAATTGCAGTAAATCACTCTTTAGTATCTTCATTAAATTTCTACATACGCAATCATCAGCAGATGTTAAAAAGTCCTATCTGGTATATATTCATGATCTATACCTATTCTAACTTAGAACTATTGCATTATGGCTCTCTACTAATTAAAAATTTCTGCATTTTCATCGTGTGACATTTTGTTAATCGCATAAACATTTAATTACTTTGTAGTTAATAAGACGACTTGCAGATTAAAATATGATTGTAATCTTTTTGCTGCGTGAGAAAAGGCTATAGAACATCCAATACCTCTTGTAGAGAACCTTGGAATTCCGTGTTTGTCCTGCAAGGCAGCCATTATTTCATCCAGAAGTTTGGCCTTGTAAACTCGGTTATGCTTCTACAAATTAAAAAAAAAACAAAAAAATATTACTTTTATTCATTTTACAAAAGGTTGTCTTGTCATTACCTACATTCACGTAACAGATCTTCCTAGTAAAGATTCCCTAAAATGAAATTGATTTAACAAGCCTAAACTTATACAAACCCTTACAAACATAAATGCACAGAGCATGTAGAGGATTCTAGTAAATGTTCTACAAGGTCTCATTCTTTACTCCTCACGAAAATATTAACAGCAGTAAAGTGAAACATATGGACATAACGAACAGTATTCAAGGTCAAAAGTCCATTATGATAACACAATACAAAATAGGAGCAGAGTAAACTCGGACCTCCAAAACATCAGAGGTGGGATCAGGTGCCATGCAGGAGTGAGCATCCCCTGCTGACGGTCACACCCGCCGTATGCTCATTGTCACTGAACTGGAAATAACGAAAAAATTCATCGTCAATCCAGTGTACAAGTAATAGACTAACAATAAGTATTAAAACGTCAGTCAGCCTTTGACTCAATGATAAATTGTATTTGCTGACAAAATCATTGTATCGACCAAAGAACTTACGAGATGATGACTTTAAATGAGACTGCTGATATTCTTGTTACATCATTTTGTTTGTCAATAATTTACCTCAATTAGAAATTGTTCAAAAGTAGAGCATGCTATTGCGTATCAATTCAACTCAGATATATAAACTCCGTATGCAGGTGGTGAAGGTATATTGCTGCATAAGTAAGGGAGGTTGACAATCGTAAGGTTAAAGTCATCACGTTTATCATAGAGCTTGGTTGTTAGATTACCATTAATGTCTTTCTCAACTAAAATATCCAAATATGAAACAGATGTGTCACACTCTGTGGTATTTTTTATCTCAAGCTCACCGAGAATATCGTATCGACATTAGAATGGAAGTTAATTGACAATATGTCGATATATCTGAATTTCGAGTTGAAGGCCACAGCAAGTGTTTTCTTCTTTTCATACAAATTCTTCTTCAAATGAATACAAAAATACGTCTGATAATAACGAGGCGCAATTGGTACCTGTGGGATTTCCAATATATTGTTGAAAGACCTAATCTCCAAAAACCACAAAGATATTGTCAATCGAAAACTCAAGCATCTTTTGATGTCAACTTTAGAATACTTGTGTGTGCAATCAGAATTTTTTTTAATAAGATAATTTTGCAAATGACCAATGACAAGGTAAGTATATTTACGAGTTCCATTTTTTTGAAAAAGCAGCTATCAATGAGATCAAAAAGCCTGGACTTTAATTTATCATGTGGAATGGTTGTGTTTAAAGTTGAAAAGTCGTAAGTTTCTAAGCTGTTGATTTTGGTAGAACCTTATGATTTTATATTGTCCAAAAGTTCCTTAGAATTTTTAAGTATCCACATCTGATTTACACCACGTCTTGAATATATTGTTGCACAGTACTCTTGAAGTTTTTCCTTCACTACTGTTAATATCTCAGTGAGGAGTAAAGAAAGAGGCTTGCTTGAACATTTAATGGAACCCATTATGATCTTTGTTTGTAAGGATTCTTATGAAGTTTCGGAATCCAGTATAGAAATGGTAGTTTAAGGTCATTTTGTTTCTTTGGGATCTTAAAAATATTCAAAACTGACATATGTTTTTGAAGAATTTCCTAAGAAAGAGAGCTATGAGTATAAGTTGGATTACCACTTGTAGAATTAAATCCAAGTTCATCTAAAATACAATTTATATAATGAGCCTTACAAACGAAGTCAATGTTGTTACCTGCTTTATCACAAGGGACCAGTGCGTACTGATCATGTAATCTATCTAATTCTTTTTTCAGTTCTGGGCTGTTGAATCCAGAAGAATAGATGGTTTTCATATTGCCCCTCAATCTTTTAACACGAGACTGTTACATAGATGTGATACATTTAATCCATTCTGACAAAGTGTTAACGTCTTTTTTTATATATTTGGCCCATCGTCTGGCGAAATCTTCTACAGAATCCATAATATTTATGAAATTCCGACGCCAGTTGAAAGATCGAGGTTCCCTACACTGAAAGAAATACCTAGTTGATTTAACTAGTGTGCCTAGTAAAGCGTTCGACGTGATTAGTAATCATCTGTTTACTAGCTAAGATAGTGCAAAGTGGAGTAATCCTTAAATACCTAGTGAAAGTTTTATAAGTTCTTAAATTTACTAATGTTATCTAGTAAATCTATCCAATACCTAGTAAAACTACTTTTGAGGTAGTGATTGTATGGACAGTAAATTTACTAGTCTTCCCAGTGACTTTCACTAGTTATTTTTTTACAGTGTATATTAAGGACAATTTAAAATTATTGATCTAAGAAACTCATTATAAACTATATTTACGTTACCTGTAATAACATGTCCAACAGGACTATAGTTATAGGGTGAAGAAGAACATGAACACGATGGATGATTGTTTTTTCAGGTATTCGATATCCAATGCCTGTAACGTTTTCTTGTAATTAAAAGGTTTGCAAGCAATAGCCTATGTATATATATTTACAGGAAATATGAAGTGTAGTCTTTAACTTGCTATGCAAGACTGGACCCTTTCGTGATTAAGGATATTACTTATATTAAATGCGTCAATTCCTTTGTTGGCATATTGAAGTTTAAGGAAAAGACGGATTGTTTTATCTGCAATTTTTTTAGTAAAACATGGGAATTGAAAAAGCCTATGATTTACAACACCCATAATCACAGATCCGAGCCTATATTCTGGTGTCGAGGAATCAAAAAATGGACTTTCCTTGACCTTTTCAAGAAGACTATTTAAAAGTTTTAAAGGGACAGAGTAAAGTTTGGTGCGAACATGATGCAGACCTAACTGTTGATTGACATAAGATAGTAATGAATAAAAAAACATCGTGTATTAAAGGTTTATTGTAAGACCGATGCCCATGACTACGCTTACATCAAAAGTCCCATCACATTTACATTGTTAAACTGTGGACTGGAAAGATTTCCAACACTATCAACATTGTAAAGTGGGAGGGTATACTGTAATCGGTATGTCCGTCCATCTCTTATCCGCAACTCCTCTTATACCATTGAGTGAAATTTAATGAAACTTTCACAGAATCTTTATTACATATTTTTTTTTATTATTACATTAAATCTCTCCTATTTTACTTTTTGATCCGACACATATGTTCCGTCCGTCACAAAAACTTTAACCTTGTCATTATAACCATAACTTTTGATTTAGTGGAGCTATAATTTTCATATTTCATATGTGTATTCCATGTGATAAGACCATTCTTTAAAACAACAAATTTGACACTTTTGACCTTGACCTTGGAGTTTGAAAAACTACTTTTACGATATAAAAAATTTCAAACTTTTATTTTTAACATAACTTTTCAATAAAAAGTACTAGGATTTTCATATTTCAAAAATTTATTCTTTGTGACAAAAATTTCAATGAATACCAAAACTTAGACCTTTTGACCTTGACCTTGGAAATTTACGTACTTTGATTGAAAATAACTATATCCTTGACCATAATTTTTGAACGGTAAGGGCTACGGCTTTTATACTTCACATTTTTTATTCTTGTAAGAATTTACCAAAATTTTATACCAAGAACATTGAAAACCTTTTGACCTTGACCTTTAGATATATTTAACTACTTTTTAAAAATTATAACCTTATGTCACGATATAACTTTTGAACGGTAAAAGATACAAGGACTTTTATATTTCACACATGTATTCTTTGAAAAAGACCTTTCATTGGATACCAACAACTTTGCTCTTTGATAAACCTTGACCTTGGAGATTTACGTACTTCTCTGAAAAAACTATACCTTGACCATAACTTTAAAACAGTAAGGGCAAGAGGGTGCTTTCGTATGAACAATTTTTAAAACGTATGTAATTTGTGACAAACAAGTTGCATGCCAAGAACTTTGACCCTTTGACCTTGACCTTGGAGTTTTAACTACTTTTTAAAAATGTTAATTCAAATGTTCACAACTTTCTGTAACGGTAGAAATTATATTAAATTATTTTAAATATATGTATTTCTGATTATGGCAAGACCACACGCGCGGGATACCAAAAACTTTGACCTATTGCACCTTGACCCTAAAAATGGATATGTTTGCTCCCACAAAGATGGACCGAAAGCGTTATACATATATTTCATCAAATTCTTTGAATTTGCTTGTTTAATCATCAAACTTACTATCTTGCTTATGTTGCAATATATCATCATACGAGTTTATGTTTCCAAGTCATTATCAACAATCTCTTTTAATGTTAACATTTTGCAATTCTATGTCCGATACTATGACATTTTTGCAAAATGTTGTATTAGGCGAAGATTCTCTAAGTTTTTGAATTTGTGTCTAATCCTTTTGACCTTTTGTCAATGAAATATGTTCAATTCATTCTATGACATTGTTTCAAATATAGAAGCTATCGTTGAATCGAACTTTGACTAACGTCTCTATACAAATTGTTAGGCATTATCTTCACAATATTGTTGTCTACGGTTATTCCTCGTTAGCCCGGACGGATATACTCAGTAACAAAGTCAACAGTAGGTGCCTACTCCACCATTGCACCTGATCCCACCTCAGTTTTCAGAGGTCCATTATAGCTTTGCTCAAACATGTAATTTGAATTGTTTAAATGGACTTTTGCGAATGATCGATGTTCGTTTTCTTCATGTTTCATAATTACAAAGTGGCTCAGTGGTTAGAGCGTCTGCTCTAGAGTAAGGAGTCGATCCTTACGTCGCGAGTTTGAATCCAACCGTGGGACGTGGAGACCGGTTCTTCGGATGAGACCGTATAAACCGAGGTACCGTGTCGCAGTAGGTACTGGCACGAAATAGATCCATCACTGCTCAATGGCCCTAAGTGCCGAATATAGGACAAAATTTGTAGCTCTCCACCGGCAAGTGGTGGCATCTCCATATGAATGAAAAATTCTCCGGACGTTAAACAATATGCAAATATGTACAATCAATCATAATAGTAAAAAAAACGTCACTAGTTCTATAGTTACATTAAAATGCGGTTTTTTTTCTTGCTTACTTGTGTGAAATTTATTCAATTAAGATGATATGAAAATAAAAACTTGAAAGTATGTAATTTCATCCAATACAAATCAGACGGCAGTTCAGATAAATGATAAATTATATACTTTTGTAATTTTTATTACAGATAAAACGTAAACATCCCTCTTATATACAGAAATACCTCAGGGGGTACATATAAGTACGCTCATTAATCAAATCTGTAAACTGCAACCTAATAACACGTTCTTGAGAAGTGTCCAAATACAGTAGCGCTTTTTGTAATTTTTTTAAAATAAAGTCAAATATTCTGCATGCTACTTTTTGGGTGAATTTTATAAAATTAATATTATTTATTTTTGGGACAGTTCGCTAATTAAGCCAAAACTTAAGTACAGCATTCACGGGCCCTATAAAGACCTTTATCATTATCACTTTGTGTTTGGGGATGTTAGTATTTTTCATAATACGTTAATTTTCTTCCTCTACAGTTTTGATTTAAAAAAAGAAAATTAAAAAATCGCCAAAAAGTCGATACATTCAATATATATAAAAGGAATGTGGTGACATTACCTATATAAGTAATACATGTAACAGTTACTGCACGGTTGACATGAAAGGAAAACTAAACAGGGTCATGTCGCAATCACATTTTTAACCAGAAGTCTCTGTCGATACTGTAGCTCTACTGGTTTGTAATTTTAACAAAGAAAGAGAAAGGTAGCATTTGGACCTGAAACTTCTTAAGTTTTTTAGTAACCATGTTACATGTAACACCATTCATCGAAATCAAAAACCAATAAACACAATTTTGGATCTTAGTATAGTCTACTTGTGTACCAAGTTTTATTGAAATCAGACCAATTCTGTAGGAGGAGTAGGTATTTCACAGAAATTTCTATTTTTAGTAACCACACCAACACCGTTCATCGAAATCAAAAACGGATATACAGAATATATCGTAGAGAAGTCTACTTTTGTGCCAAGTAATATTGAAATCAAACCAAATCTGTAGAAGTAGTAGCAATTTGAAAGTATTTCACAAAAATTTTATTCTAGTAACTACGTTACGGCAATACCATTCATCGAAATCAAAAACCGATAAACAGAATTGTGTTTCTCAGTGTAGTGTACTTGTGTGCCAAGTTATATTGAAATCAGACCACAACTAGGAGGAGTAGCATTTTGAAAGTATTTCACAGAAACTTCTATTTTTAGTAACTAGGGCAACACCGTTTATCGAAATCAAAAAGCTAAACAGAATTATGTATACATATACATTTGTGTGAATTTATGAAATTTGGCATTTTGAAAGTATTTTACAGAAATCTATTTTTAGTCACTAGGGCAACAACGAAATCAAAAAGATATACAAAATTATATTGAAATCAGATCAAAACTGAAGGAGGAGAAACATTTTGACAGACAGCTAGACGGACGGACACCTTACTATCGCATAAGCTCTTGTGCTCGCTGACAAGTAGAGCTAAAAATTACTTGCATTGAATGTCACAATTTTGTTTTTCATACATAGGCGTCGGAACAAAGGGGGGGGGGGGGGGACCCCCCCCCCCTTTTTTGTGTAAAGAATGACATATTAATGGTGTTGAGCATTGGGGCGTAGGTTTAGCCCCCACCTTCTCACTTTCAATAGACAAGTTCCATTTCGGGTCCAAAAAGGGTAAGTGGTAGTGTTTCGAATAAAAAATTGTTACCGAAAGAAGTTCGATATTAAACCCCACCCCGCCCCAAAGAAATAGGATTTTCGTGTTTGCACAATGGACAAATTTCCTTTTTTTTTTTTTTTTTTTTTTGCTTGTCAAGTTTTCTTTTGTATATTTCTTTTTTTTTCTTTCACTTAGCCCCCCCCTCCCCACTTTCAATTTGCTTCCGACGCCAATGTCATAAATTTTGTTTTATAGACATTTAAAAAACAGTTAAGATTTTACAGATTGATAATCTTATTTCATAAGATACAGATTTTTTTCCCTTGCCTGCAGATTTGATTTTTTTTTTATGAGAAGAAAGAATTTTCAAAAAAGTTGATGCATTTCTCACAAATAAAATTCATAATAGCTCAGAAAAAAATACTCTTTAGTAAGTAGGTTACAAACCTCCTTAAAAAATAAACTCACCTTAAGTCCTCTTGCGGGGGATACAAGACAAGACACTATCATGAAAACGAAACAAAGGGAGAACAATTTCATCATTTTTCTTATGCCTATATATTGCACCAGAAATTGGTCTCCATCTTATAAAGTTTCATCAAATTGAATTACATTCCCCTTAAAAATAATTTATTTTGAAATTTGTCAGGTAAAACGGAAAGAATCAGTTAAAAGAATTTGAAAGAAGCTTGTTAAAGCTGGATAAATTATCATTAACACATTTCTTTCTAGGTTTTTAAAAAGATTTCCTGGCCTTAACATGGCATTCTAAAAAAAAAAATTAATGAACATTTATGAAATATTTAAAGATATAAGAGACACCGACGTAATCATTAGGAGAAAAGAGGTAATTACCAGAATTATTTCCATCACTTGCTTCTTTTAATGGGGAAAAACAGTACAAAACAAACTTGGTCTTTCCTAATGAGTGGCTTAATATGCCTTTCTTGAAAAAAAAACATATTGCATATATGCAGTGTAACATTACGTCAATACCATAAAAACCTTCGGATATTGCAACTAACATCAGAGGGACTGTCTCATTTTGCAGCATATGATATGTCTGCACATAATTGAAAATTGCAATATCTTTACATCGACTTCAAAAAGGATTAATAAATGTGCATTTTCTTCAGATAATCTCGCATACTTGTTTAAAGAGCTTATATTGGAGAAGGTACTCGGTACATGCGCAACCTTCTGTCACGGGTAAAGGATAGAGGTATGCACGTTTTTTTTTTCATTATCAATATATGATATGGATCAGCAATATACCTGCATACGGAGTTTCTATATCTCAGTTTATTCGATACACAAGAGCATGTTCTACGAATTAAAAATTTCTAAACCGAGGTAATTTATTGACAAACAAGTTGATGAAAGAAGAATATCAACAGTCTTGGTTCATTATTTATACACTGAATTGACGACGGATTTTTCCGTAAATTCCCGATCATGACAAGGAGCACACGGAAGGTGTGACCGGTCGATAGGGGATGCTCAATCCACTCCTCTATGGCTCTGATCCCACCTCTGATGTTTTGGAGTTCCGTGTTTGTCACATGAGCCAAGACCAGGCCTGGGGCCATAAAACTTCCACAAGCTCACTTTGATCTCAGTCTCACTTTCCCCCGAGGAATATATGGTGGAAAAGTGAGACTGAGGTAAAAAGTGAACTTGTCTGAGTTTTATGGCTACCATTGTCTAGTTGTTCTGCTATAATGTGGCCCTACCTTTTACCTGGGCCAAAATTTTCACACTAAACTAGTCTTTGTCTCAACTGAGTTTAATTCAAATACCAAGTCCACTATGCACCACAAAAGGCCCATAGACCTAATGGATCAACTGCGAATCAATTAGCAAGGACCATGCGATTTACATTTCCCCCCTTCACTCGTGCTACATACCAAAATTGGTTGAAATTCTAGTTCAGCGGTTCCTGAGTAGAAGCTGAAAATAATCAAATATCAAGACAGACGAAGGATGACAACAGATGCAATAGTATATCCAAGTGACCTGAATGACTCAGGTGACCTTATTAATGGTAAACATGTATATAGTTTACGCAAAAAATTAAATGATATACAAAAAGAACAGGTATTTTAATCAATTTATTGAAAAGCATGTACAGACTCCTATTAATAGTTATACTTTAACTTTCTCATTTGATAACAATTATCGTAATAACTATAACAAATATCACAGGCTCGTGGCACTTAAGTTTTATCACAGTAAGAGAGATACATCAAACACAAGGGTACAAACTGGAAATTCTCTATATTTGACAGCTTAGGTTTAAGTTTATTGTATTTTACTGTTTTTACATCCAAGGTATGATTATACCTATTAAAAGACTCCATCATTTCTCTACAAGTAGAAGGTGGTAAAAAAGGGGGGGAAAAAGAAGGACATTCATTCAACAGAATAAATTTTAAGGCATAAATCAAAGGACACATTGTCAATCAATTCAGACAGATAAAACCTATTTTATCCTAAGGAACTATAACTGATAAGAACTATAACTGATAAAGTAATTGTTTGATTTTTTTATATTTAAAAAAAATAAAAAAATATCATATAATCCACATGCATGTATGGATAAAATGTCCGGACCTTTTTAATTACATTGTTTTTCATATCATGAACCATGGCAATTTGTCAAGTATTTGTTCAAAATTAAACACTGCAAATGTGGGAGTTTCAAATACATGTACAATTTAAGCATATTGAAAGCAAAACCAGAAGCTAAATTATTTTCATTCCCTATCCAATTTACAAAAAATGTTGGATGTAAAAAAGAATTTAAACTTCAAAATTTCAGAGTTCATTTTCAAACTTTAAACAGCTAGCTGCAACACTGAAAAATCATAAACAATCAAAACAATAAATAATTAATCTCGTATAATGTACAAGCAAACATATCAATGCCTAAATTAGCTGCCATCAGACCTTAGGCTTTGTTATATAGGCCTTTTTTGATATACAGTGTTTACTTTTTACTATGAATATATATATAATCAGTTTATTTATTAACTTACCTAATCAATTATGAAGATTGCAAGAATAAATCTATAGATCTGCAAAAATTGCAATGCCTCTTTATAATTTGTGACCGGAACCTGATAACCCAACAAATCATCTAACTTTATATCAACAAGATTATTGTAAATGGTACAATATATGCTTATCTTGCTTCTTTTGAACTAATTTACTTCAAATTTTCTTTTACCTTAAATCTAAAAATCATAAATAAAAAAGAAATTAAGGATCATGTTTCAATCCCTAGTAAGTAGAAAACCAAAAGTTCAAGTCCTGTCCTGAAAAAATCTTAATATTTTGTGAGATATATAAATAAATGTAAAAGAACAATGAAAATGAAATGCAAAAACATCACTGAAGAGATACATCTATAAAATGTAACTGTACAGTTTAACAATGAAGTTCACTAAAAAATTGAAAAAGCATAGAACACTTTAATGACCATTGACCATTACTTTTAAACATTCATGACAAATCCCAAACAAAACACACAACAGTCTATAAGCAACAGGCTAGACATGTCATCAATTCTAAAAATAGCATTCTGCACTGCTTGATATTTGTGAATACCTTAAAGGTAGCATATTCTTAACTTAAGGGACTCCGACCCTCAGTCAGGAAGGACAACTCTTTAATTCATAATTTAATTCAAAAAGTCTTTAAATGAAGCTTGAACATTAAATCTTTTCGTGCAACAATTTTCATTATATGCCTCTCAATGTGCTTCAAGGTTCTTTGAACTTCTCAGAAAGGTCTAATTAAAAGTAGAAATTTTTATCCCGTAAAAGCATTTTTAGATACCAATGTTTATTAACATGATATGAAATTAGAAGTGATTTATGGAGCTTTGCAAAGAACCTTGAAGCACATTGAGAAGCAAAAAATGAAAATTGTTGCATGAAAATATTTAATTTTCAAGCTTCATTTAAAGACTTTTTTAATTAAATTATAAATTAAAGAGTTGTCCTTCCTGGCTGAGGGTCGGTGTCCCTTAAGAACGAAAGTGAAAAAAACCACACAATGAATGAACATCTAATTACATGTATGAGTTAAGTTGAGCTTCAATATCTTGAACCTGGTGGGGCTGAGAAAAAAATTACAAGATATCCAAGGATTCAACATATCAAGGGTAAAATACTTGAAGAATATAAGGTAAGGACTTCTATGTCACTTCGGAATATCCATGGTATACTATTCGCGATATCAGAGTTTGAGATAGCGTAGTTCAATTGAATACACAAATTAAAGAAGATGCTGGCATTGTTATTCTACAGAAACTGGTTTGTGTGAACATTTTCAAGGGGCATTAGTCTGTAAACTTTAAAGAAAACCCACTTCAACCAAGAATATTTTATCATAGAAAATTTCAATTTTTAATCCTAGTGACAATAAAAATAAAAGTCTGGATTTTTACTTACTATTGAGGAAAGAAAATAAAAATAAACACAGTCATACCATAATACCTTGATCAAAACTATGAAAAGGTTTGACTGTGTCAATGGGAAACAACTGTGATACATCTACTATCAAAAAAAAATTTAAAAACATACTTTGAATGAATTATCCACAATTTAAGCCACTTTTAAGATTTTTAAGGTATTATCAAATTATTTGGTCACTTTTATTATAAAATAAATGCTGCATTGCTAATTTGCTATTGAGCTTAAGTATTTCAATATATCACTGTACAATCAACAATAAACACTGCTCTCCTTTTTTTCTTAACAAGGACATTCCTCATTTCCTATTGCAATGTTTCAACTTGAAATACTTTTTCAAGCATATACGAGGGTTGTCTCGTAAAATCGTGGACAAGTTGTCTCGCATGAATAATAATCATCACTGCTTTCTGAAATTTTCACTACTTCTTAGTACATAGGAAATAGGGGTATATGCATAAATAAACGAATTATGAGATTTAATAGCGAGCGCAGCGAGCTCAATAGACTAACGTGTTAGAACAGAGGAAATTCGGATTGAAATTTGTACATACGTCAGCCAAATTTCTCTGTGCAACATTCCCAGAATTCCTGCACTACCCAATGTCCTTTGCGCGAATATTGCCGAATAAATAAATAAATAATAACGTAAAGCATATATCAACTTTCAGTTTGTAAAAATCTGTGAAACAAGAAATAACTCTGCAATGTTTTTCGACAAAAATTGCACTAGGGCAAACAGATTCCGACGAGCTTTGTGACGTCGTATGACGTCACAGCTAAGAAAACCCACTTAAAGTGGCTGATCTCAAGTGTTTTTGATGGTACAACTGCGCTCGCCCCAACGGTCACACTGTAAAACATATTATTATGTATTGTATCGCCTTACGGCGCACAATAAAAAGTGCCTAAAACAAGTACCTCAAGTTTCATTTTTGCACTAAAACAAAAGTTGAATAAGCCCCACTTAAATTTCGAAATTTCATTGAAGCACATACACAGTCTCCATAAACAATTGAGGAATCAATCTGGCATAAATGTACGATCTTCTGATGATTTATTAGTAAGATACGGACAATATTCCAACATCATTCAACTAATAGACAATCTTATATTGACGCGGTCAATATTGACAGCGTCTTTAGCTATTACAATTGCAGTTTATCTGCATGTCTTGTACTACCTCGGGACTCGAAAAAAGACTTTTAAAAACATATCATTTATATTAAAGATTTGGCATTTTTGGGGGGGATTTTTTCTTTCAATTCATTTAAAGTTTTATACGGCGCTATTACACCATCTAAATCATAGCGAACTGATCTCCGGTGCGCCGTAACGTTACCAAACGTCACCATTTTTCGTGTGTTGTGTTAACCATTTTCCAATTTCAAATGTTCAGGAAACTGTCAAAAATTGACCAAATGCATTGAAAATTTTAAGAAGACAAGAAAATAAATTGTGGAATTGAATAAAGATAATTTCTACCCTAATCTTATATATTTAAATCCTTTGTTTCAAACCAATACTCCTGTATTCTCTTATAAAACCTTCGTTTTTTGACCGTGCGCCGTAGGGCCTTACCCTGTGCATTATAAAATCTATATGTTTGTGTATATCTTATCCAAAACATTATAATCAACTTAAATATGATAGATAACATTCACTGAAAATTTCAGCTTATTACGTCCATTATTTTTCGAGAAAAACGCTTTGTCCACGATTTTACGGGACAACCCTCGTACATTAAGTTGAAAAAAAAATATAGACAAAGTCACATCAATTAACCCAATATTTAACCTAAAATCAAATTTCTTACATCAAACTTGCAAAATCAATATTTAAGTTACTTGTGTTGCATTTTCTTGGCTATTTTCCACAGGTTTGGCCTTCTAGGAGTCTGCAAAATAAAAGGAGAAAGATTTTATACCCAAATTGCACTATGGTTGCATGCTTCAAAAAATTGATTTTAAAATTTTTTATATATATTTTTTTCAAATATTCTATTTTAGCCAGAGAGTTGACAGGTAGCTTAGCTTAAAATCTTTTTTTTTAAGTATTTTTAAAATTCATATATACATATTTATTGATGAGTTTGTCCATTAAAATCAGCGGCATGACAGATGGTCGACCATGAGCACACTGGAATGGGAGGTGACACTGGGCGAGGGATACCAGCAGCTTCCTACACTCCTCCTTAGTTAGGGGGTCACCAAACTTGATAGCCCCTACAATTAAAGTACATAACTGACAATGCTACAGATAATGGAAACAAACCAATAACAAATGCTTTATGTATTTAAACTATACTGAATATTTGAAAAATATTCATTAATATCTAGTTGAAATAGGGTTTAATTTTCTTTGTTTTCGAGGTATGGAAAGACCAATGAATTTATGACCACATTGAAATGTAAAATTTCATATGCATTACTATTAATATTCTCCAACCACAAATTCAAATCTCTACAAACCAATATTTTATCGTCAAACCTCAGAAATTTGACCCCACGAAAATATGCGATTTTAGAGTAGTTCAATTCTTCTAGAATATAAAAGTAGAAGCTCTGAGTATATTAAATTTCATGATTCACAATATATGTTTCCACCATAAACTTTTCCACAGATAATGAACAACATGAAATATATTGTGAGAACAAACCTCTGCAAGCCAAACCACAAAGCAGTTTGTGAATGGTCAGTGGCATGTGATCTTTGGCACCTTTAGTTGACTTTAAAAACTGAAAGAACAAAAAATTAATTGAACAGTAAATATTTTTTTTTGAGTCTTGGCTGTTAGTATGCTTTACCAGTAGTAAATTACTTGCTTATACTTCTAGAATATTGAATCAGGTAAACATACATACAGTATAGGTAGAAATTTTAGCGAGACACAGATTTAGTGATTAGTCCTTAAAAACTGGTATTTTATTTTTAGCGAGATGTAATTTTAGCGAATTTAAAATGCTCACTAAAGAAGCTTTTACAAATAAAGCACAATTAATTTTTAGTGATATTAAATATTAGCGATCTCAGCACCCTCGCTTATAATGCCAAAATCAAATCCTTGCTAAAAATTCTGCTTATACGGTATAAACCATTTGAATAAGTCAGAGTAAAGAGGCTTACCTGTACATGTTCTGTAATGGTATTCTATTTAAAAAAAATTGTAAGTTTATAAATGAACTGTTTTATGACAAAAAAAACCTCATTAAACATACATTAATCATATACTGGTAATTATATCATCTTTAATTCGCCTGCAGTTTTTTAACATTATCCGTGACTACCAACCTTGAGAATATTTAAGATTACAATGCCCTCTCTCTGTTTTTCTTCTTTCTTTGTGATACAAGATGGAATTTCCTTTATCAATACTGAATCTCTAGACAGCTTGCTTTTGGAGAAACAAATCCCTTAAGAAAAAAAACAGGGATTTAGGAAACATCCAAAGATTATTGCTGGGATGTATATTCAAGAAGTGGATATTAAACAGATAGGGAAACCAGAAACAGTATGTCTCAAACTTGCAATTTTTTTTTACCTAGCAATCTAATGAAATACAACTCAAGATCACAGTAAATTTTTGGTACAATTTTGTTTAGACATACATGTATAAAGATTTGCTAGGGGAAAAATCAATAACATTCTCTATTTACACTCTTTCCCCAATGACTGAACTGACCAATTCTTTGGAATTCCCCTCTGAAGGCCTCCATGACTCTCACGTCCTCCTCGGTCAATTTAAGCTCCTCCTCAGAACTCAGGATACAAGACTTGAATTGTCTCCCCTCATCATTTTCGTAGCAATCTGTACAGGCATATAATTCTTAATGTTACAATAAGTTAAATACATTCATATAATTTTTATGAATGGCAAGGTAAAAATTTTAGATTTTTTCTTAGAATCTGAATCAGAACACTATGGTAATAATTGCGTGAAATTAATCATGAACTTCATGGATAATTAACTAACAAGCATACCTTTAGTAAGTTGTTCTAGTCGTACTCTCTCATGGGCAGCATGTTGATCAAAGACCACCAATAAACCAGACCCTACAAACAACACCACTATCTTTTGAAATGAGATGTGTGTATGGCCTACTTTCAAATTTATAAAATATGGATTGAAAAAAAAAAATTACCAAAATAATCACTGGATCACTGAATTCTTACCGTGAGACTGACTTTCTGTTCTCAGGACGCAAATGATGAACTTGTTATCCATTTGACCCAATACCTATATAATATATAATCATTGTAATGAATCAATTCATTATACATGCAATTCATATAAAGAGGGTGAAAGGAAATAATGTATTGTATAACTGATCCTCCTTTGATCGAAGAATTCATTCTTAAGAAATCTGTCAGGTATTTATATCTAAATTTTATAATTAATCTTTTTTAACAAATAATGAGAAAATGATCAGTGGATGTAAATATCATATTCTAGGTGTAATCATAATAGGCACATTTTTTTTCAAGCACACAATCATTTGCATTTAAATTATTACCAGTATTCACCCTATTCCCAAAGCACACTCCAAATAAGACATACAAAGTAATACAGAAAACTTTTAAAAGTACTTGAACTTGTCTTTAACTCAGAAAAAAGAAAACGTTGCATTTTTATTAAAATTCAAAATATGAATTAATATTCAGACTGACCTCTACGTCTTTTAGCATGTCCTTTGTAAATGTACATGGATTGAGTGACCTCTGAGCTTTGCTGGCTCCATATGTTCTTTCCTTCTGTGTCTCAGCATTTAACACCTCCTACAAGGAATAACTCAGTTTACACTAAACTCAATTTTTGCAAAATGAATAATAATTTATGGTACTTAGCAAGACTCAAATTTAATTTGGATGACAACATATATAGCCAGCAATTAATTCAAACATTACATCAATAACACTGTCAACAATATCAAATAAATAAAATAAAACATTAACATGAAAGTGATCGGCCTTCTAAAACCAAAACGATGACACAAGCAAGCATTGTAAGAATTATGAATATATTATAATAGCAGAAACTATACTGGCTGCCACCTATGAAAATACCGGTATTATAAACTTTGAACGAGAAAAAGTGAAATCGGAAGAATATAGAGAGAAAAAAAATATGAATCCTGTTTAAAGCAATGTCCCTACCATGAAAATAACTGGCATATAACTGGCATACTGCAGTACATTTAAAATACAGTTAAAGTTCAGGCATTCTGTAAGATTGCAGTCCTCAAGGTAGGGACTTTTTCCCGACAAAAACACGAGGGAAATTCTCCTAGCCCTGGAGTACTTATATCTTGTTAACTCCCTCAATGATAGTTTTAATAAACTACTGCAAAAGTAAAATCAGTTGCCTGCATTAGTGCAATGTTAAGTATTGTGTAGTAAGCTGATTCTTAAGTCCAAGGTTTGAATCCTAATGTGGGCAGTTAAGACTGGTCCTTCAGATGAGACCATATAAACCGAGATCAAAATTTGCAGCTCTCCACCAGGGTATTTCCATATGAGTGAAAAATTCTTGAGAGGGGCATTAAACAGCAAAGTAAAATCTAAGAGAAATACAGATTTTGCTTTCAGAGCTGGGATAAGCTCACTTGACTTAGCACAACTTAACTGGTATTAGGGTATCCATAGTTTCTATAGTTCTTTATCTTCACCCTATGTCTAGCAATTTGATTTTATCATAATTTATTACATTAAATTCAGTAAAACTACAATTTCAAAAAATAACATGACTATAGCTTGTTACCATGTCTGGTCTAGGAAACACTGGGTTTTCCCATTCCTTGAACAAGTCTGCAACACTTCTCCCTGCAAGATCAAATGCATTAATATTACAAATATTAATAATGAATACATAAGATACATGTAAATAATGAGAGCATTACAGAAAACAACAGTTACTGACTTACTGTTACCGAGTGTCAAGAAGGTGGACTATTCGTTACCTCTGAAGCTTTCCATTAGTCCTTTATCCTTCCACTTGACTGATAACATCTCGTCGTCTGCATCAAAGTGTTCTTCAATCATGGTCCTGATGGAGGAGAATATAGAGGGACTGGTGGTCGTGGTCCTCTTCACCGGTCTTCTGCTCCGTGACGCCTGCCCAGTCTCTCCACTCCTGTCATCTGCAAAGTAATAAATTGTGTAGTTTCAACACGTTACATAAAATATATAACAGAGGACTGTAATGAAGAAATTTTATTTACTTTCATGATGTGGCTTACCTTGCTTGTCTTCATCTGGAATTAGATTTCCATCTGTAGCTGTGTTACCTGTATGTCTGTTTACAAAAATATCTTTACCTGGGGAAAATAAACAATTTCAAACAATAAATAAAATAAAACACTTTCAGCAGTATTACATAATTACACGATAATCGATAATGCAGATGTCTATGTCAGTACCTGTCTTTTGATCTGTTATTTTGATCCAAGTCTTCTGTATTTCCGCACCTGTAAGTTTCTCACTGCCAAGATCTATGTTTAAGAGGTCATCATCTGCTACTTCTGACCAAGGACTTGAGTCCACACATTCACCAGGATTCTCAGAACCTTGTGCTGCTGATATTAAATTCTCACCAGTTTTATCATTTGACTCCTCTTGGTCTTTGGATTCCAAATTCTTTTCATTATTGTTTCCAGTAATATCATGCTCTTTTTGTAGAGACATATTATCTTTCTTTTGCAAATCTGTGTCACCGTTTTCATTTACATTTTTGCTTTGAAGTGAAGAAAAATTCTCACCATACTGTGTTTGTGATAAAGAAGCATTTGGTACACTCACAAAATCATCATTTTGTGCTCTTGAATTTTCCTCACATGAAGAACAGTTTGATTCTAAAGAAAACCACTTGGAAAACTCCTCACTTTCAAAGCTGCATGGAGATTCCTCACAGTCTCCTGTTTTATCTGCCTCTTCTCTCAAGATCCTGGACAGAGTAAGACTCTCCGGAATTTCAGAATCGATTTGTTTCTGTTCATTGTATCCATCCTTTGTCCTTGGATTATCCGTAAATATTGCGGATTCAGCTGGAGTAAGGTCCTCATCTGGATTCAGATTAGGAGAAAATCCTTCTGATCCCGTTGGGGAGCAGCAAGTTCTTTGTTCAAATTTTGGAATGGTAAGTTCAGAGTTAGGAGTGGTCGGAGTATTTTCTCCACTTCTGTTGCCATTAACTGAAGAGAAACTGAATCCTATGGAATCAACTAATGAAAGATTTAATTTTTTCTTACTAGGTTCTCGAATTTCTTCTGAAAAATCTGAATCAAATGTCAAGTTTGTTGGAATAAATTCCTGAGAATCATCAAAATGCCAGAAATCTTCAGTCTCCGGTTTGTGATGCATAAGTTCTCTTTTATTCTTCACTCTCCTTGGAGAAGTCTCTAGATCCTCCAGTCTTTCATCACAAAATAGATTAAAGTCTGAATCCGACATGTTCTCTTGTGGAGCATTATCAGTTCTATATGTAGTATCAAATAAACTGTGTAAATCTTTTGTTGCTTTCTCTGAATTGTTTTGAGTATTTTCCTGATAATCATTTATATCCATAATAAATGGATCCTTCACATGAATATTTGAATTAGAATGCATTTGTGAGAATGGCCCTTCTTTATTTTCAACTGACACACCTTGGCTGTGTGTTGATTTCAAAAAATTGTTTCTTCGAGGCCTGATCTCAAAGTCTTCCAGATTAATTCTACTTTTACAATTTTTAGATGCATGTTCAAGAACTCTTTCTTCCTCTGTTTGTGTGTCATTGGAATCTGGAATTATTTGCAACATGCTTGAAGTAGAAACTAAGTTCCCTTCTGTGCCATTCTTGTTGTGTTCTTTATCCGCAGATGAACTGCTATCATTTTTCAGCTGAAATCCCTTTTGCAAAGAAACAGGTATAGTCAAGTCCTCCAAATCAGAGAACATAGAGAAGCATTTATCCATTGGCTGACTAGAATCAAGTTTATTTAAAGAAATGTCATTGTTTACACCTTTTTTTGACTCACACACTGCACTATTTTGAACCATTCTGGACAGTTTTGATGCTGTTGTTTGTGCAATATCAGTGTTTGATCTTTTCCGTGCATGTACATCAAAGGCATCCTTAACAATTCCAGATGTTTCATTATCATTATACATGAGATCTGAAGACTGTGCCTTTGGAATCAACGCTTTAACATTTTCTTCCATTCTTTGACTTGGTTTTTTAGCACTATAATCACTACAAGGATTAACATTATTTAAGCTCACTGAATTGTCTGTAGTGCTGGGAAGAACATATCCACTTGCATGTGTTTCACATTTTTCCACATCACTGTCATAAGATTGGCAAGTAATGGTTATGGCACTTTTCTGATTTCCACTGCTATTTGCTGGCTTTTCCTCAGATGATCCACAATAAAGCCTTTGTCTTTCAGTTTCCTGATCTGGGGCTTTTCTGTTGGCATTCTTTGAGATGCTGCTATGCACTATCACTGTGCTAATGTCTCCAGTATGTTGATGTCTATCACAAGTGGTATTTTTTGTATGATCTGACACAGAATCACCATGCACTGTAGATGGCTGATTTTGAGGTAAATTTTTCCTAAAGGATGTAAGAGAAGTCCTGGATCTTAATGAGCAATCTTTTTCAGGAACATGACTAGGAACAGGTGTTACACTAGAGTGTTTCACATTTTTTTCATGAGATTTTCTTGTAGAGCTTTTTTCCTTGCTCTTTCTCTGTCTTAATTTTTCTGTCAAGGACACTTTCTCTATTCTTCCATTTCTCCCATTCCTTGAACTGTGAAGACTTTTCCTGAATGCTGACAGTGTTGAGTTTCCACCTGGACTGATATGTGGAGTTGATATACAAATATAATTTCTCCTTGTGTTTTTATCAGGAATTTCCCCCTCAGCCAGGGAATCAGACCTTTGAAAGTGAAAAGGATCTTCCTCATCAAAATCCTGAGAATCATCTTCCATATCATCAACTACTTGACTGTCTGGAACTTTTTGAGGATGGATTCTTGGAGGGTCCTTTCTCTTTGTATTGACATTCGCAGGTGTTTTGAATTTCACAGTGGCAACATCTTGTCCATTCTCATTATGCTGTTGTTCAGTTTTTTCACATTCATTGCCATTTTCGATTTCAGATGTCACTAAGTATTTTCCTTCCTCAACATCCAAAATAGGATTTTCAACATCAGTACATTCTTGAGTATTAGTTTTCAAAGAGACAGATTGAGATCCTTCAACCCCTTCCTCAACTGAATCACCTTTACGGTTTGTAGAAGAAATGGAAGCATCGTCATTTTTATGAGTATCCATAGAGGAAGAGTTACTATTTATTCCAATGTCCTCTTCATGATAAAAATTCTTTTTTCTCCTCACCAGTTTGGATGACATTCCAGCATGAATCTTGTTTGTGTGAATATCTCCACCTATATCACTAGTATAAACTGATGAGATGTCTGGAGACTCTTCAAACACTTCTTTCTCACTTGAGTTATCCTTTGGACTGACAGGGTCCTTGGTTATATTTAAGTTTTCTTTCACAAGAAATGACTGGACAAGTTTCTCTATACTTTCTTTTAAGGATTCCCAATGCTTGAACTGAACAAGGGTCTTGGCTGGTTCAAAAGTAATGTCATATTCTGTGAGACCACACTCAATGAGAATTACAAATATTGGATATCTGTCAACATGTTTTGTAGGGCTATCTTCCAATAGGGCTTTGGCATAGGTAGTCTTGGCTTTTACAATGAGAGACTTGCCCAATAAATTATTGACCAGCTTGCTGACATCCGTCTTTAAAACTACTCTTTTGTTCACATAGACAAACTGGTGGTCTTTTCTTGAACTACCTTCTTTGCCAAAATAAGCATGAATCTTAAAATACTCATTCTCGGCCTCCGACTTACAAAGACATCTTGACTTGGCAGTCCCAAACAAACGAGTGAATGTGTTCAATAGGGAGTTAGTTTTCTGAGTCTGCAGTACAACTTGTCCTGTACAGTCATTCCTCAAGCTAAGAGAGATGTTGGATTGAACTAGAGCAATGGCCTCCAACTTTTGCCTGATCTTTTCTAATTCCAGATTCTGGTTTATATGTTTCTGCCTGACAGGGAGGTTGTAGAACAAGTCGTGAGCTGTTATGGTAGTCCCCACACTGGGACGAGGGATGGTAGATTCTATTACTGGCAGAGGACTTCCACTTTGGAATAACTTACAGTAGGATACTTGGGAGACTTTGGTTCTGGAGACAATCTCTAACACAGCTGATATTTCCCTCAGACTGGCCACTGCCTCTCCACGGTATCCAAAGTAACATAAGTTGTCCAGGTCACTCACTGTGTGGCACTTGCTTGTGTAATACCTGCAAAAATATTTTTAAACTTTTTAACTACTGGCAGGTTTACACTGTACTTTCACAAATTTTCCTTTTTCACATTCATGCTTTTAATCAGACAATAATGTGGATAAAATAATTCATTTCCTTAAAATATCTTGGAACACAGTTTATTCGAACACATGGGTTATCACATTAACAATAATTAATAATGTTATTTGAAATACAGTTATATATATGCACATGTAGTTATATAGAATTCCTTTTTTTTTCAGTTTTGTTGCATTTCCCAAAATATTCAAGTACTTTATGTACCAATTAGACAGCAACTGCTGAAATGACCCAAAACATGAATTTGCATTTGTGTGTACACCACTGATTAAACACTACCTGACTTTTAAGTTTTGATGATCTTATAAATACTCTCCTATATATTATCACTCTGTTCTTTTACATTTCTGGTACTTTCTACACAGTTATTTTGACAAAATCCTTCTGATTAAACATTGAGCAGTCTGGCTTTATTTTTATTAGCAACCATTACTTATCGTAAAGAAATAACTGGTGACCTTTCTGCCACTGTTTCTAAGTCCTTCTTCTGTATTCCATGTCCATTGTCAAACACCTGAATCTTGAATCGTGACATGTCCACCCTCACAGCAATACATGTCGCACCTACAGAATAATGTATATGAGTGTACACTGGAGGAGTAAGAAACAAAATTGAATCAAAGTACAGAATGTTCAGCTTTTTAAAGTTTTAAAGTTTAAAAAAATTTAGAACAATTATAGACCTCACCCCCTACTTTTTTCTTACCAAATATCATAGACAACAGTATAAGCAATATTTGTTCAAAATGTAATATATACAAACAATGCGTAAGTTACTAGTAATTATAAATACCCGGTATATTTATGTATTACAAGTGTTTTCTTAATAATTAAAATACATAAAATTTAAGCATTAAGTTTCAGTAACCTGCATCTATTGAGTTAAGTACAAGCTCCTCCACACACTGCACCATGCTAGTTAATGCCACGCCCGTCCTAAGGAGGGACCGAAGGTCCGGTGTCAGGGGCTGTAGTGTTCTTTTATCATCCATTGTAAACATCAACACCAATTATGATGCTTGCTTAAGTAACTTCACCTTGCATCATTTTTCTAACCTTTAAAGGCAGGAAGGATAAACATAATGCTACACTTGATAAAGTGTGATACATGGATTACCATAAACTATGTGTAGATCTTATGCAACTGTCAGTTCATGCATTTAATCACCCTGTTCAGATTTTCTTTACTGCGTATAGAATTTGTGAAAATGGCCATTGCTTGTAAATGTAATAATATATAACTAATTTCTTCAATATAATTAAAATGTGTTTCGAATTTTAACACATTGATAATATTTGCATTACAAGATACTTCAAGCATGCTTTTAAACTGGTCTGTTAATCGGAATAAAAGTAGTATTAAACCCGAAAATCCTACCATAGTTACTTTATAGAGTGACATTTTGGCATTCATGAAATACAATTCATTCTGACTTTACGGAAATAGCCCACACAGCATTAGTCATTTTCATGCAAACCTTTCTACTTTCGAATTCAAGAAGTAGCGCGAGATGTCCACGAGATTTTCCTTGTTACTAGGCCGGATCAAATATTTCATTTTAATTCAGTTGAGAACATTTTTCCACTTTATAAACAATCTCTAGTACATAGAAGTGAAATACTTTATTGTTCTAAAATGATAAAATTGTTCATTAGCCACATTATTTCTTTTAGAACTTTGCCCTATTTTGTTATGTATCAGTTGTCAAGCTAATGTAAACAACATGGCGGCGACCATGCCAGTTTTGTTGGGGTTGTGACAACACGGTCACGAACTCAGACATAATAACTGAGGGAACAAAGAAGTTATCACCCTAAAACGGTAAGGGATAAAATATTGTCAAAATTGGTTCAATAACTTAAGTAAGTGAGATACTTGTAAACATTTATATTATAACATAAATTTAAGGAACTAAAACTGATAAAGATGTTAGAAATAGAATTTATGACGTTTTAATCAATTTATAAAGGAAATCTTGGGATTCTATGTATGAGTAAATTAATACAACTAAAAATAAAGAAAATAATGATTGCTCCTGGTCATTCCTTTTGATAAACTTAGATTTCCCATTATTGAATAATCAAAGTAACATATGTTGGAGCAAGATTAGTAATAAAATATATGTTTTTTAATTAAACATGAAAACATGTTGTCTCTAACTTAAAAAAAAAAAACGAAAGCTATGCCAATATATATGTCAGTGTCTTTGATTTTAAAATTAATATAGGCCTAGTTATCAATTTATTCTCCGAGTGTTAATGCTGTAAAATCTTTCAGTTGTAACAATAAGGATAACTATATCATCATGCTATTTCTTGAGTTCACTTTCTGCTTACAATATTCAAAAAATATATATGTACATCTGTATTATAAAATTCATCAAATATTTACAGTTCAGTTAGAGATTTATTGGATATATAAATTAAATTAATCTAATTTGAATTAACTCAATACATAGTGCTATTTTCATATTTCAGTGACATACATACAGTCACGGACATAAAAAAAAAGATTGTAGTTTTTTTATATTAAATTATTGAATTTGTCAGATTAGAAAAAAGTATTTTTTTATATTGAACAAGTTAATACAGACATTGATCTTAGTATAAGCATGCATGCACACATTGTATTTGCTGAGAACATTTTTATAATTAAATTACTGATAGGGTATTCCTAAGGTGTGAAATACTTTACATAGTATGAGGATTAGTTAATGTATAAGAGTTAATTAACGTCACAAATTAAAGTAGACATTTGTATGCATTATACATGTTATAATATTGATTGCAATTTATAATTTTATATACAAGTAAAAACCTGATTATTTTGTTTTAATTAACCTGTCTAATAAAAGAGAAACAAAAGAATATTGTAAAATATACTGCAACATTGGTAAGCTAAACCTTTTTAGAATGAATAGCGACCCTTTATATATAATTTATTAATAAAAGATATTATATATAACATATTTATATAATTTGATATATAAATAGAAAGAATTAATTATCCTGTATTAAAAATAATAATGTATGTAACTGCATGACTCCAACAAAATTAACCTTTTTCAACTCAAAATTTCCTCATTTTATTCTACTGTTTGTTGCATTGAAGCAGAGATTAAGATACAAACATGTTTATATTTATGTGAGGTGGTATTTCAATCAATCAAATCAGCTCCCATGTGGATCTATGCTTTATCAATTACTGACGTCTTGCTTGGGAAGGTAATGGATTTGAGAGAGATTGATCCTCATTGTTGCTTACCTTTGTATATTAACTGGTACATACAAAACCACTCAGTGAATTGCTACAGTGAGTGAGTGTATTGAGGACTGGGAAGATTTAATATTTCTTCCATAGTAGGTTAGACATACAAAAAAAGGAAGTAATCCATGAATTTAAAGTGTAATTTGATGTATGAAATAATCCTGTAAAGTTGTAAGAAACTGCATGTTTATTTTTTAAAAAAGATATATTAAGATAGTGTATTATTTTTTTTAATGCAGGTACACTTTTTCAAGCCCAAATGAGCACACTGGATTATGCTCCTGCAGCTACAGGGATGTCAAGGATACCCAGATTTCAGCCTCAGTCTCGCCCGCTACCACCTCTAGAGACCAACAATGACAGGGCAGGGCAGAAACCCTCCAGACTTCAACAGCTTCAATCCAACTACCAACAGAAAATACTCCGGGAAAAGGAAGAGAAACTCATTAATATGTATGAAGAAAATCAGAAGAGAGCTCTTCAAAAAGTACAAACCCAGGGTACTATGAGAGATTTCTTTAAACAGCGTAGAGAGATGGAACAGAATGGAAATATTCAGCAAGCACCAACAATGGCTAATCATTACAAGAAGATGAGACAGGTTGGTTCTTCACCAACTGGAGGCACCTGGTCCCCAAACAGCAGACAGCATTCTGGCAGCTCCATCCATTCCATGGGACGTGACAGGAGTAAACCTTTGGCTCCTATTGACCGTAATGCTCAGATACCCCAAAAACCTCAAAGACATGGTCGCCCCAAAACCAAAGATTCTATTGTTGAAGAAAAGAAGCAACATTTAAATGGGAATATCAAGAGTGCAAATGCAGGTTTCAACAATGGCAGCTACAGGTCTGAGAGATCTCCAATGGAAGAGACTCCTCCTCCAAACATGGCAAACCTAAAGAGTATAAGAAATCAGAAAATAAACAGATCTGGAAAACCTCCTTCAGGAAAACCACAACAAGCCAAAATGTCCGACTTCCAGAAATTCCAGATGGAACAGGACCAGGCTAGAGAAAATAGGCTAAAGGCTCACAGGGAGGCGCAAAGACAGGAACATTCAGGCTATGAGTACCAAACAAGTGAGGATGAGGCAGATGAAAATGAGGAAAATAATAATGTTGATCCCCAAGAGGATATTGCTAGGAAGCAGAAAGAACTCATGGAAAGGATTGCTAATCAGCAGGCAGAACTGGAGAGGATCAGACTCGAGAGAGAACGTGAAGAAATTGAGGTAGGTGACATAAACCACTAATTCTCTCCTTTGCGGGAGGGGGGGGGTCTCTAATTTATTAATGTATAACATGAATTAGCTCAAAAATCAATTGTTGCAGATGGATTTCCTGCTCATAAATCACAAAAAATGTTGTTGATTTACAGAACATTGTATTTCTTTTATCATATTTATTACTTAGGTGATTTTTTTTTTTATTTTTTAAACAAACTGTGCTTTTCAAATTTAAGGAAAAGAAGGAAATGGAAAGGCGTAGAAAACGAGAGGAGGAAAGAAGAAAAAGAATGAAAGAGGAAGAAGAGAAGAGGAAAAGAGAGGAGGAGGAAAGGAGAATTCAAGAAGAAGAGAGAAGAGTTCAAGAGGAAGAAGAATTTCAACGAAGAGTTGCTGAAACAAGAGCAAACAAAGCAAACTCTTACAACACAAGGCAGCCTTATGAAAATGAGGACCCATACTCATCTCGCTATGATGACAGAACTTATAGACGGGATTCTCCTGCTGAGCAATACCAGCCAACACCCCCACCTAAACCAAAACCAGCCAGAGTACAGAAAAGACCGCCTCCAAAGCATTCTGCCCGCGTGGAAAGAACTCCCTCCCCACAGTTTACTACCAATGATATTTCAATGTATGAGAATGCTGCCATGGATAGCGAGGCTTATGCAGGGGGTAAAATCCAAATGGCAAAGTGCTCTAACTGTGGCAGGAAGTTTGCAGCTGACAGACTGCAGCGCCACAGGAATGCTTGTGGTAACGCGACCAAGAAGAGAAAGGTGATGGACCCCACGAAGATGAGAGTGGCTGGGACAGAAATGGAGCAATACACTGGGAAAAACAGATCCAAGACTCCTCCGGTAATTCTTACTTATATATTTTATAAAAGTGACAACAAAAAAATTCAATGTTTTAATTGCCAAATGCAAGAAAATAGATCTTCAAAATACTGATTAGGCTCCACTTCATATAAAGATGTAAATTAAAAATATCATTCTCAAAACATTTACCTAATTTGTGTATTATCATTAAAAGTTATTTGAATTAAACAAATTTATCTTGTTTTAAAAAACATGAATTATCATCAAAATATTCATTTTTACAGAAGAAATCTAACTGGAGAGCAGAGAGAGAAAATTTTATTAAGGCTCTCCGTTACGCCAAGAAATGTGCTGAAGTGGAGAAAACTGGAGGGGATATACGAAACATAACTCCTCCACCTGCAGCTGAAAATCCCAGCTACAAACAATGCCCGTACTGTTCTCGGAAGTTTAATCCTGACGCCGCAGAAAGACACATTCCACGGTGTAAAAACCTCAACACTCGTCCTGCTCCTACTAGAAAGGGAAGGCGATAAGCTAATTAATACAGTTTGTATAAATTAGTTTTAAAAAATCAGTCCATTGCAGAGATGACACACTGTGAATGGCAGGATATATATTTGTCTTGTAAAAAAAGAAATTAGGAAAATGAGTTCTAATCATTGTATTGAAATATTAAGTGACAGATGGTAGTTGTTTTACATGAGCATAAAAGTGCTATGATGATTACGAGTGTTTTGAGGGTACATGAACAGGTATGAATATCGCTGCACTTTTTAAAAGATAATAACACGTTTGATTGTAATAAATGTGGAATGCAAAAGAAGTTTGATTCACCATACTCAGAATTCTAATTTTGCTATGAGTGTTTAGTTAACCATACCCATATCTTATTCTCACACTCTTAGTCATATTTTGTATGCCCCTGATTGCCAAGAAGTAGTCAGTAAATAGGCTGAATGTCACCTAGCTAGCTCACAGAGCATTCTAGATGTATAGTATTTTTAATTAAATCATGATTACAATAATTTATAAACAATATATAGATGCACCAGTTGAGATTTTAAAAGTCACATCTTATTTGATTTTGTTTGAACTTGTTCTCATCTTATAGATATATCTGTTCAAAGTCTTGTATTTGAAAGTTAAATAAATTCTTCATCCACACTACATTATGATACTGAAGATCACTTAATTTTCGCAACACCTTATTTTCGCTAGACAGCCATTAACTCTTTGTTAGTGAGACAAAATGTTCACGAATTTTGGTTATTGCTCTGTATAATCTTAAGGAATACTAGTATACATGAGAATTAAATATTTGCGATAATAGTTTTGTGTAATTACTCGAAAATAAAGTTCTCGCGAATAAAAAGTGATTTACAGTACATAATGATGTCTCATAAATCTTCCAAATGAACATCACAATATTCAATTATTTATTTTTCCTGTAAAATGCTATGAATAATTCATGTTTTTCAATTTAGGTTGTATGAATTTTGTCACACTCAGCTAGTATACACTCATGCCACAGGGATTTCCAATTTCAAATGGAAAACAAATTGTGATTTGAGTCTCAGGCCATTCTAAGTTTTTTTTCTTTGTTTAGCATCCATCCTAAATTAATTGAAGGCTATCTTTCTATTCAGAAAAACACACAAACCAACAGGAAAAAAACACAGCATTTTAAACACATGCAATTCTAGAATTCCTTTCATCGGACATCATTGGAAAGTTCTACAAACTATGCAGTCTGGTTTATTGAAATAAAAAAAAATGGTACACCATTTAAACAATAGAGATAATATTCTATCCCAAATGAGTAAGTTTTTTATATTTATTTTAATTTGTTTTTGATTTTATATCCTTAAAACCAATTTGTCTGCGGATACAAAACATGGAAAAAACTTGGAATGGTTTTACTTAAAATATTACATTTTCATACATACTTATATTGCATTTTCAATATGACCCATGCTGTGTTCTGTAACAGATACTGTACAAGAATTTTATTTTACATTAGTTAAGCATTTATTAAATTATTATCTGATTTTTGGAATAAAATTCATAAAACTTACATTAGTTACGAAAATTTAAAAAATTCTTCTCAAAAAGAGAAAATCCAATTTGCTAATATAGTCATATGCATATAATAACATAGAAACATCCCCCCAGGTAACGAACTTTCAAGATTATGCAAATCATGACCCCAGCGGATTGGGTGGGATCACATCAGGGGATCAAAGTGTACTTAGGAATATCTAGGAAATGTACATATCTTAAAATCTCAGGAACGTGTTTTAGTCATACATGTATTTAGATTGGTTATGTTTAGATTGAAGAAGATGGATGAATAAGGTGGATTAAATGCCCGTAGTGTGACAACGTGACTTGAATCAGTATGTCCTCCCCATCACTGATTTTGTCAGTTTCTGGTATGTCCGTCTTTTGCACCAATGCATGCATGCAAACACGAGTTTCTGGACATGCTGAGAGCACGAACACGTCTTTGTAAAATGCTGTTACATTCTTCCTAAAGAACCGGGGCCAACTCCGTTACATCTCAGGGTTGCCTGTTGACCATCTTCGCTAGCGAAGATGCCTGTTGACATAATTGACTTCTCAACTCATCCTAAAGACGTTCTATTTTTATTGGTGTTTAGTGCAGGAATTGGCATTCCGGCAATCGTGAGTGATATTCTCAGTAAGAAGCCGTCCATCAGCCTGCAGAAATGTTTGATTGCATACAGTTTAGTGAATCAGTTCAGACTGCAAAATTTTGTTAAAATAATAAAAATATTGTCCCAAAATTGGTCAATTTGCCTCATGCAGTTTTCACCATATACTGCTCATTCTGCCTGTGATAAAGGTGTGTTCCCGTTTTGCACACATTTGGTAATTAGTATAGAACAACAGGTGTGAAGTGCGTTTTGAGAGCAATTATAGTCTGATTTCTGGTTTGGATTTACCTGGATTACCTGATTTAGCTTAATGTATAATGTTTAATACAATTTTAATAAGCATTTTATTAAAATTCTATATATATTTATTGAGAAATATTTGATATTTGATTTTATTGAATAAATTATTAATATTTTTTTAATATTATTTATTATTAAGTCCAATTTCTTAAAAAAAGAATACATACTTGATAAATATGTTGTTTTCCCTCCGTATGGAACACATTGAAGCAAGGTTCATTACAACTGTTTAAACACATCTTGCCAGTTACATGTACGTCTTATTTGAACCAGTTAATCTCTGGTCCATTGCATGAACTGGTTTAATCGGTGATGTAAGAATTAATCGGTCTCGCTGTTCAGAGACCATCAGAATTTCGGATAGTAACTAAGATCTTATATAAATCAGATTGATCATGTATAAAAGAGCCTGGCTGCATGGTACTATTTCCTTTTTTAATAGCAAGTAAAGTTGATTTTAAAGATTTTTCCTATATATTTCAATATAAAACTTGGATTCCCTTTTCTGGCCCCGCCATATCCCGGGGGTCATGATTTGAACAATTTAGAATCTACAATACAATGCTTCCACAAAAGTTTAAGCTTACCTGGCCCAGTGGTTCTTGAGAAGATTTTTTAATGACCTATGATTATCTCATCTTTTTTATCTCTCCTTTGAAGGAAACTTGACCCTTCATTTAAACTTTCCGTTACCCAAGGATACTTTGTACCAAGTTTGGTTTAAATTGGTCCAGTGGTTCTTGTGAAAAAGTTGAAAATGTGAAAAGTTTACAGACGGACGGAAGGACAGACGGACAACGGGTGATCAGATAAGCTCACTTGAGCATTCAGCCCAAAAAATCGACTCCATTCCTGCAAATCGAATGAAAAATCACACCGTGAGACAGCAAATTCATCGTATTAACCTCAAAAGAAGCCGGAACAGTTACCTTAGCATGACGGCATGATAGGTGTTGAAGGAACGGCGTTTTTTTTGTTTTTTTTTTTTTTTTTTTGGTTTTTTTTTGTAAAGTTGCGTTAGCTTGACGGTGTGCTGTTTGTTAGTGGGTTGGAAACAAAACACCATTGCACTGTCAATTTCCGCTAGCGCTTGCAAAACTACAACAATGCATTAGCACCGTTGCGTTGCGTTTTGAACAACGCACTAGCGCGTTGTCACTTTGCACAAGTGCGTTGACACTTCGCACCGGCGCGTAAATGCATTCTTGTGCTTTGGGAAGTGATAATGTGACAATGCGCTATCGCGTTGTGCTAGTGCTTTTTTTTACTAACGCACTTTTACACTTTGCAAATGGCCTAATCGGGACAGCATAAGAACCCATGCATTTGTATCTTGAATTAAGAGATATATATTTCATTACAAATAAATATGTAGTGCATTTTTAATTTTTCTTCTCAAAAATAATATAGTTTAAAAAATAATTTTAAAAAAGATCATTTAAAATTTAAAAAATAAAACAATAAAATTGAATTTTCGTCGTTTGCACCTTTAAAAATAATGTCAAGAAAAAAGTCGTAATTATGAAAATAGTTTACTTAAAAATAAGAGTATGCAATTATGTGCTAGTATTTCGAAGATGTCTTTTAATATGAAATTAGCGATCGCTATCTTATTTTCTGCGGTTTGTGAGATCCTGTGAACCATGTTAAGACAGCATCGCTTATAATTTCTGGGAAGAATCCATAAAATCTTGCTATTTCCTGTAAAAATAAAGAAAAAAGATAATATCAAAACAAGTCTAAGAACGATGTTTGGTTAAAGACTTTAGTGTTTTAAAATGTATGTAAAGCTAATGGTGTACCAGAGACGACAAGAGACCCTAAACCTTTATTATTCATCTAATATATGTATCCATATACACATTTACCGCATATACATCTATGATTCTGGAGCTTCCCGGGACCAGATACCGTGCCTGGGGACTCTCGTTTAGGAGGGCGTCCACCACGGCATCTATGACCCTATCGGGAGAATCGGCCGCGTTCTTCCTGTTGTCTGAATTGAAAAATCTATAGAAGTAGGCCTTGCCGTAGAAATTCTTCACTTCCTCTGAGGCCCTCTCCTACTGACTGTCTACTTCCTGACGACGGATTTTCACCTGAAAGATGAATCAGTTTAACACTCATGGATGTAGTGGGGGGGGGGGGGGGGGGCACGGAGCCCCATATAATTTTGCCGATATCTGTTTAGAATACTACTAGTATAGAAAACATAACTACTTCATGCTTGTGCCCCCCTCAATGATTTTATTTTTGGTGGTTGATAGTGCCCCTCAACTGAAAATGTATGGCTGTCCCCTGTCCCCGCCCAAATTTAGATGGCTTCCGCGGGCCTGACACTGTAGTTTTAAGGTATCCTCCTTATATAACCGGTACTTCAGAATATGTTACCCTCCCCCCTTCCAAACAAAAAATATAACTTGACGATTTGCAACCGTTTATTCATTGTCCTTCCCCTTTGACAAAGACTTGTATGGTCAAAAGAGATACCGGGTATTTTAAGGACGAACCATTTGTCAATCCTAATGGTCGTTAAATATTTTAAAGCCACCCCCTATCCCCGGTAACTCTGTATGGTATTTCTACTGGTTTAAAAGATTTTGATAGATATTTAATACAGATAAAATAATTATGCTGTTGATGAAGATGAACATAGATATTATAAATAATTATTAATGCTGGAAAAAGTGCAAAAATAAAAATGTTAAATTCAAAAATCTTTTTGACATATAGTATTCCACTATATATTACAATTTCTGGATTGCTACAGGTCGTAGCGGCGTCATACTGCCCTGGCTCTACGATGCTGACCCCGACCCCTAGGGCTCGCATTTCTATCCTGAGGCTATCCGTCATGGACTCCACTCCGTGTTTAGAGATGTGATAGGCGCTGTCCCCGGGGGCTGAGTATCTCCCCATCACACTCGATATATTGACAATTCTACCTGCAGTAAAATTAAATACATATTAAGGAATTATTTTTGTGTGTGAATGCTGTGTTAATGAATTAGTAAGCAATAATTTATTTATTAATACGTTTTTCATTAGAAAGATTTCATTCAAACGCCTTTATGTCAATATAATTCAAAATTTTCGAATAGATAAAATACTTTTAATTTTCGCATTGCACAAATTTCTCTACTTTGCACTTGCTCTTTCGGAGAGTGCCAGAGAGCTACCTTGAGATTGCCGTATGAAGGGGAGAACCTTTTGAGTAACACGTATCATTCCATACAAGTTTATGGACAGACATCTCTCGTATTGATCCAGTGGCGTTGTTTCAACGTCTCCAAATACATTTACACCAGCGTTGTTTATAACACCCCATAAACCTGTGCGAAATGACATAACGTTATATTAGATGTATATTTCTGGGGGCAACTATTTTTATTTTTTGTTTTTATATTTTATAGTTGTCCGTCAGTCTGTTAGCTGTCCGTCCGTCACAAAAACTTTAACCTTGCCCATAACTTTTGATTTTAGTGGAGTGTATTCCTTGTGACAAGACCTTTCTTTGAATACCACCAAATTTGACCTTCTGACCTTGGCCTTGGAATTTGACCCACTTTTTCACAAAAATTTCAAAGTTTTACTTTGGCCATATCTTTTGAATGATAGAAACAAGGACTTTCATATTTCAAAGATACATTTTTTATGGCAAGACCTTTCATTGGATACCCACAACTTTGACCTTTTGACCTTGACCTTGGAGATTTCCGTTAATTTTGAAAAACTTTACCACACACCATAACTTTTGAACGGTAAGGGCTAGGGCTTTCACACTTCACATATGTAATTCTTGTAAGAAGACCTTTCATGGGATACCAAGAACTTTGACCTTGACCTTGGAGTTTGACCTTCTTTTCAAAAACTTTGACCTTGGTGACAACTTTTGAACGGTAGATACTAGGACTTTTATACATGTATTTCACAAATGTATTCTTTGTGGTAAGACCTTTCATTGGATACAACAACTTTGACCTTTGGAACTTGACCTTGGAGATTTCCGTACTTATGAAAAAACTTTAACCTTGACCATAGCTTTGGAATGGTAAGAGCTAGGGCTTTCATGCTTCACATATGTAATCCTTGTAAGAAGACCTTTCATTGGATACCAAGAACTTTGGCCTTTTGACCTTGACCTTGGAGTTTGACTTACTTTTCAAAAACTTTTACCTTGGCCATAACTATTGAACGGTTAGGGTTTGAGTTTTCATCCTTCACATATGTATTACTTGTGACCTTTCTTAAGAAATCAACAACTCAGACCCTTTCACCTTGAAGTTTGACATACCTTTCAAAAATTTATCCTTGACCATAACTTTTGAACAGGTGGTCCTAGGGATTTTGTATTTCACAATCGTATTTCTTGTGAGAAAACCCCTACTTTGGGAAATAATATATTTCATTTGCATTTAACAAAAGTTTAATCTTCGTTATGTTGACTTACGGGGTCATTGATCAGTGTTTCACAAACACATCTTGTTCCTTATATTGAGAAAGGGCTTTCATATTTGACATGTGCATTACCTGAGACAAGATATTTCCGAGCATTCTATGATTTCTTACCCCTTGAAATTGACCTTCACGATTGACCTTATTTTTAAAAAAGAAATCAACTTCAGTTGTGATAATTTCTAAATAAATGACATATGATAGGGTGTTCATATTAGACACAATATGTCATAAAAAATGCCATCAAAAGCGGGAGACCACAATTCTTTGAATTTGCTTGTTGTTTTTATATTTCATAGTTTCTTTTTATTGCCCGTTGAATAAGTGTTAAAGTAATGTCCTTATCCCTTTTATTCAACTCACCACGTATTTTTATAAGTTAAATTTTTAAAATCACCACACACCGTTACTTTTAGTATTCGCGTTGATGTACGCCACAACATCCTTGATGTCCTTTTCACTTGTGACGTCCAGTTGAAGAACATGAAGTCTTTTGGAACTTTTCGATCTCAATTTCTTTGCGCCCGTGCCGTCTTTGCTGAGTACTCCTGCATATACTATGAATCCCACGTCATCTAAATATCTAGCGAAGTGGAAACCAAACCCTGAAAAATAAATCTTACGTAGAATTTTTAAAAAAAAAAAAAACGTATATAAGAAAATACATGGTTGAATGGAGGTCACTCATAAGAAATTTCAGTGCAGACATGATTCAGACAATCGTTCGTAAGACAGGTCCCTGAATCGCTGTAATATCACTAATTTGGGGGAATTTTTGTATCCCCGGCTTGGTCAGTCAGATTAATGCACACATAAACTCTATTTGCCGTACTTGGAGGTCCACCAATTAATATTACTTTTTAAAAGTCTAAGTAAAAGATCAAATACTAGTAACGTTAACAATATTAAAACCCCAGTCACATTTCCAAAAACGACCAACGGCCGACGGGTTTTGAAGCAAAAATGGGATTCTTCAGGTGACAGTCGAAATTTTATCGGCCGTAATTCTTTACAAATTTTAACTTATTTTTAAAAAGGCCGACCAATTTTGTGTCCATCGGTCCAAGTTATAATTTTTCATGCGTCGGTGGCCGATTTCTAAAACTGCAAAGTTATCCGTCGACCAAATTTACTATCATCGTAAACCATCGGCGGTCAGTTTATTAATCGGTCGTAACGTCATGTATCAAATTTTCAGTACGGTTAAAATCAAACTGTAGCTCAGAGCTCAATGATCGGGCGACGATTGGCCGACTTGTGAATATTTATCCTATTAAGGATACATAACACAAACAAAATTTTGATGCGTGGATTGATATAAATTTTTTGAACGGAAATAACATAAATAATTAATCCGTAAGATATAAAGTTATCTTAAATATTCTTTGCTGCTTAGATATGCACCATTTGTCGTTTTTATGCAATTCCATACTTTTGCACACATTTTCAACATTGAGTCACAATTTTATAAGATTCTGTCACTTTGCCTTGCAAACATTACTCACGTCCCCTATCTGAATATAGATCTATGAAAAAATATTGCTGATTTCTAAAGAAAAAAGATTTTTTGTGTTATTCATCCAAGTCATCGGTGTCCCTAGGAAATAATTGAATGCTCACATTTTCTGTTTATCTGGTTTTCAGCCGACAAGACCAGAAAAATTTAGTCGCCCGACCATCGGCTTAAATGTGACCTAGGCATAAGAGAGAGAGAGAGAGAGAGAAGAGGGGTTGTTCCTTGAACACTTACAAATAACCCCGATTCGATAATTGGAAGGGGGGGGGTCCTTTATATTTCTAAACAAAAGTTAATTTATTATGATAGTGCCCTCACACTGAACATAAATGAAACCAGATCCAATTTTTTTTAAATTTACTTATGAAAGAATGTCATGTAACGACGTACATGTACATCATGCGCGGATCTAGGGGGGGGGGGTGTTTTGTTTGTTTGTTTTTTTTGTTTTTGTTTTTTTTTTCCTTGTCAAAAAATTCCTGGGTTGGCTTTTTTAAAAATGACGCTATCAACATCGCGGAAAAAATTACAGTGCCGCGCCTGTACATTATTTTTCTTCTTCTTTGCTTATTATGAACTGTTGAACAGTTGAAAAAGTAATTAAAAGTCGTTTCAAACAGCTTCCTATGGACCACGAAGAACTGTACACGCAAAGACATTATCAGTAAAAGATACTTATTTTTATCTTTCAAATCGACCTCCGATCCCAGAATTTACTTGATTTATACACAACACAGGAGGGAAACAGACTCCAGAATTACATTGTGTATAGTAGCTAGTCGAAAATACAATACCTGTCAGGTAGATGTCGACTGTGTACCCTCAGTGAATGATCAGCATGCAATCAATAGTGTACAAATCACACAATCGACGAAAGATACAAGTTACGATATCAGAAAATTGGAATAATGTATTATACAACTGACAACCATTGTAGACTATGGTAAATTAAATAATAAATATATGTTTCAAATATTTTGGCAAACAATACTAACATACAAGTATACTAATTACAGTTTTAAATGATTATGCATTAATTGCATGGAGGTATTGAAACTATATACATGTACGGGAGTAAGGAACTAAGGATGAACGAGTTCACATGTATACCGAGAGAAAAATTCAGGCTCGAACAAAGAAAAGTTAAATTTTGACATTTCATTACTTTAAAATAATGGTTTATAACAGATTGAGTGTTAAAATGCCGAGTTAATCGTCTTTTATTCAAATAAAGACAACATCTCACTTTTTGATAATAAATTGATATAAGGGTTAGATAGTAACCCCCCCCCCCCCGCGCCTCCCACACACATATACATGATATAATAATAAATCATATTGGTAATATTCCCTTGTTTTTTTTTTGGCTTGTCAACTTTTCCAATTAGGCAAAATGAATTTTTTGAACAGGAAATACATTACAATGCAATGGTGGCATATATTCGATGTAATGCAGTCTCTAATGGATAATGCGATAAAAATGATACCACCTGGTGATAAGTTTGTTTTAATGCCCCAAGCTTTGCTATGTTAATAGGGTATATAGCAAGTTCAAGTTACAATGCATTGTTAAGGTACAAGAACGCTACTGAACGGTTTGTCCGAAGTATCTTTATATACTGTATATACACACTTGTACATGTAGTCTCGTCTTTCTGCTTTGATCCAATTTCTAATTTTTGTGAATGAAAACGTACAAATGTGTATTGTGATTAAAACTATTCTCTAAACGCCCTCATACGGTAAATCTAAAGTAGTTATCTATAAACAAGATTTACGTTTCTTTTAAGAAAAGAGTAAATATGATGTAAATCAAATACTTGTAGACGAAATAGTAATAAAACTGTTCAAAAAGTTCTTTCCCTGAGATTCAGCTGTCCTGATTGTTAAAATATATTAAAAAGAAAAGAAAAGACAATTCATTAGCCATTCCAGATGCATGCATGTAAGTATAACTAATATTACTTAAAGATATCAACAGATAGGAAACCATATTAAATGCTTCCCTCAATACTGACTATAAATGAATAAACGTAATAATTATTGTGATTAAGTAATTCTGTCTTCATTTGCTGCAGATGAGTTTCATCCTGCGATTGTTCATTGGTGTATACGTGTTCCTTTCGGTGACATTATCAACTTGACTATGTAAAAGTCTATAAAACAATTATTTCAGTGGTACATGTATGTAATTCTTGAAATCAAATGATAATTAAACTTACTTACAGTAGTATTAAATTGTTCGGGCCCAAGCAATTTTTGTCTGCGGGATAGTTAGAAAAGGGAATTAGAAATTCAGAGAGAGAGAGAGATGCATTCAATTAGTTTTGACGTTAAGAATTCGGACAAGATATCCAGCAATTTACAAATAAAAACAAAATGTCAGAATTACTCAATTGTATAGAGAGTAACTAGGGATTGTCAAAAATAATTTATATCAAAAGTAAGCTATTCAGTTTCAGCGTTGACAACTCTGTTAAATACAACAATGTAAAAATTTTGTATACATATACTAGTATGCGAAATATTTATACATGTAATGGCGTTTAATTCATAATTAAGGGTTGCATTTGCTTGAAAATAAAAAATTTATAAACATTTTAGTTATGCATCTGGTGAAAATATTATAACAAATCATCTCAAAAATTATTTACCTTTGAATTTAAGTAGCAGTAGAATTAATCAATTAGAAATGTTTTTGCATTTTGCATTGTCCATAAGCGCTGGAAAACTTAAAAACAAGGATGGTTATTTTAATAAATAACATAATATCTTCCTAAAAATAAGTGCTAGTTAGAATTTTGCATAAAGAAGAGACCCAGGCCCCACTCCCCAAACTGTTACCCACTGATTTTACAGCTAATTAAATCAAATGTGCAGTTTAAGTTTTAAAATTTTATAGACATACGTTGTAAATATAATTTAATTTGATACCAAGTGCATAGCAAAAATCATAAATACAGGTTTAATTCTTAGTAATACGCGAAACATACTAAGTTACATATACATGTAGGCTATCGTGTAAAAAATATTATTAGGAAAAAAACATTTTGCAGCTTTTTTTTATACTATATGAAAAAAATATTTATATTATCAGATGTTCATAATATTTCCCAAAATTCAAATGACTCATGTGCCGCTCAAGCAAATTTTTATTTCTTAACACGACAATTGTAAAAGCATTTTAGAGTTGAGCAGTACCTATCAAAAAGTGGAAATAAACAAAAGGTGTTATAAAATACATTCAACATACATGTGCAGTGGTATTTTAAAGTTACATTTTTATACTTTTTTTTGAACACTGCTTGAAAATTAAGCAACCTGTAATAAGAGAGTACCTGTCATATGTGACCTTTTCTCCTTTCTCCGTTGGAAGGTCTTTTAATACAGGTTGGACTGTATGACCATCATTTTCTTTCCAAAAACTGGATATTACATGAGAAAACAAGAGACTCTTTGGCCACAACGCTCACCTAGGTAACTTTGGCCCTGTTGTTCTTCGCCAGATTTTCCCATATTCAGTGTAATGCTTATTGTGACCCCGCCCTACCCACGGGGGTCATGATTTGAACGATTTAGAAAATACACTACACAAGGATGCTTTTCTGGCCCAGTGGTTCTGGAGAAGAAGATTTTTTTTAATGATCCTACACTGTATTTAACTTTCTGACCTTGATTATTTCGTCTTGAAAAGGAGTTTGTTCTTCTTTCATTTTAACAATTTAAACTCCCCTTCACTTAAGGACGCTTTGTACCAACTTGAGTTAAAATTGGTT